CATACCACACTCAACTTTTTCCAACATTAAGGTGCAATAGTCTTCTTCAGATGTCACGGGGGATGATACATATACAATGTCATTATTTTACAATAACAACAAATAGTTGTTTGAGCCAATTCCATGCAGCCAATCATGAAATTAGTTTCTCCCAAATGTTTCTAAATCCCCAGGAAATGTCATTTTGAGTTACTCTATGTAGGATCTTGTGTTTTTTTGTTTGTTTGTTTGTTTGCTTGTTTTGGTTTGTTTTGGTTTTGGTTTTCCCAAATAATTTTTTCGATCAGTGAAATTCATCCCATTTGATCTACATATATACATAAACTAGTATTAATTACAGGGCATGTTCCTCCTTATGAGGATATTAATAAATCTAATACTATTTGATTCTAGAGTACTATTTTTGCAAACTTTATCTTATTTTCTAGATCTTCAATATTTTTACAATATTTTTGTGTTTTGAGATGTTTACAATAGCTTTTTCTAATTCACTCACCCTTAACCAAGGCAAAAAAACACCTTGCAAAACTGTAAAATGCTAGGGAGTTTTACTAAAGGATTATCTGGAGTCCACTTAATTCTGCATGTGGTCTCAAGGGGGCTTTGGCTTTGTGGGTCTTCAATAATAGTTACATTTGGAATTATTGCCTCCAGGGTGCAAGCTCCCTTCCATCCTAGGGGCAACACCTTCCTAGCTTTATTGCCATACAGCCAGTACCACCCTTTGCCATTCAGGACAGGCCATCTGCTTACAGGATTCTCATGTTGCATCTGGTGTACATTATGCATATTAGCATTCCCGTTGTTACTATATTTGGTACAGTACGGATGATTCCCTACTTCATGGATATTTCCACACACAGGGTCAGTACTATTGCCCCCTGAGTTTCTACCAATATTGTTTAAAAGGCACCTTTGGTAACACAGCATATTGTAGCCAGGGTTACATGTAGGGAACTCAACTTCAAAATCTATTCCTTCCCAGGACTGTGTATGATCTGTCCCTTTTAGAAATCTAGAGATTCCAGACACAGTTGCTGCTGGAAATAGTAATCAGGGACAAGGCCTTTCCAGTCTTTCTAGGCATCTGGGTGCAAATCCAACAATTATTTTGAGATGGAACTCAAGAGATGTTCTGGATTAATTGGGAATGCTGATTTTTCCCTCCATACTATCACTAATCCATTGAGAATAGCTATTACTAAGATAAACTCAAAATACATCATTACTATGTATATATACACACCCCTAAAATAATAAAGAAATAATAAGTAAGAAAAACAATAGAAATCACATACTAATAAGGATTCTTCTGGTGGGGATTAAATACCCTTCTTTCTCCTACTTCCAGGGAGTGTTCCCTGGAAACACTCCAATTCTGTGTAATTCAATCCCTTTTACTCATTAATTCATTACGAATTCTTCTAAGGAGAAGTTAAAGATTTACAATAAACAGTTTCAACAGTTTTAACCTGGAAAGTCTTTGTTAATGCAGTCTCTCTGGTATCAGAGTTAACTGATGCTTTTACCCAGATATGAGTCCACCCTTTCTCAGGTGTTCTTACTGTCATTTCAATAGTCAGGAGCACTTGGAACAGTCCATCCCACTCAGGTTGCAGTTTCAGTTCTCTCCATATTCACATCAGAACCCAAGCTCCTTCTCAAAATGGTTGGATCGGAGCTTCCAAGGGTAGGGCTTGAGCTAACAGTCCACGGCTTCCAGAAAGAAGAAGGATGCCAAGGAATGTGAAATTTCCAGTTAATTCCTACAGTCCATATTAGCCCTTGCAATATTTCTGACATAAAGTGATTTCCTTGATCAGAGTCAATATTTTCAACAATTCCATACCTGGGAGTTATTTGTTCCAGAATTACTTTAGTTACTATGTTCACAGTAGCAGATACTTTAGGGAAAGCTTCCACCCACCCTGACAAATGATCTACCAAGACTAGTAATATCTACCTGCTCTAAGGAGTTCTGTAAAATCCTCCTGTACATTTTGGAAGCATTGAACTCCCGGTTCTTGCCCCTTCGGGCTGACTCTTTTAAATTCCTATTTCCCTAATAGTTGTTCAGCCAGAGTATATGTATTCCTACAAATAATTATTTCCATAGCACAGCGCCACATATTCCTTGAATTCCCCAATGACATTCTTGATATAAAACAGTTAATATTTGCCTCAATAGCACTTTATTCAGCATTTCGCTCCCATCAGGGAGTTTCTGTTTTCCTTTGGACTTCGTGACTCCTATTTCCTTAAAAACCTCTTTCTCTTAAAACGGTTCAGTTTGGGGTAGCTTAACAACTCCCTCAATCCTCTCTGGAGTTATTTTTCATTCCCCCTCAGACACTAGATGCCCTAAATATTTGACTTCTCTTTCTACAAATTTTAATTTATTTTCCATTACTTTCAAGCCCTGTTTTCCCAGAAAGTTGAATAGCTTGTTAGGGGCTTCCTTCACAACTGTTTCTCCTGTCCTGACAATAAAAGATCATCCACATAACACCTTCTTCGGAGGTTGGAAGTACTCTGGAATTTCTTCTAGAACTTGCCCAAATAAATTGGTGGCCCTGTAAACCCGTGAGGTAAGATTGTCTCTCTGTATTGCTGCTTCTGCCCCATTTCAGAGTCTTTCTACTCAAAGTCAAACATATCTTTGCTCTCAGGGTATGAGAGCATCCCCATAATAATACCATTATTCCAGTCTAACAATTTACTATTTGAATGCCCAATTTCATGATCAAATTCTTTCCCAACAAGTTAGTCCCTGCCTCAGGTGCATACAATAGTTGCCCCTGTGAAAAGAATTCAGCAGCTGCCCCAAGCTAGATAAGGGCCAGTTTCAGCAGGCTCCAAAGGGGCTTCCTCTGCCCAGAGCCAAGCCACGAGCAATGCAGTTTAAATCTCTATGAGAGCACACCCAAGAAAAGGAAAAAAAAAAACTGCTGCACAACAGCAGCTGGGAGAGTGAGGAGTGAGAAACCTCGCTGCAGACACCAAGGTCAGTACAGAGGAGGGGGAGTGCAGTACAGAGGTCCTTGTCTCCACTCATCTGGGTGCTGTGAGGGACCTCTGTCTTTTGCGGTAGCTCCCTTGAAGAAGAACCCTTCAGGGACCGCCTGCCCCCTGAGGGACCTCCATCTGAGATGGGGCTCCCCTGGGGCTGCGGCTACCCCAGCCTCACCGCCAAGCCAGGGGCCTCCTGACTTCTCTCGTCACTCTGCTCCTCCTCCGGCTGGGCTCAGGTAGGATCCTGTGGGGTTGCTGGGGGCTCTCCCCCCTGTGCATGCAGACTTGCTGCTGTGGGGCAGGGGAGTGGCCCTGGGGAAGAGGAGACCCAAGCCACCAGCTCAGCCTATGCTGGGATTCACTTTCACTTTGGTTCTTTCACACAACACAGGCGCGGTCTTGGCTTCCCTTTCTGGCTCTTCTTCTCCTGCCTGAATGCTGCAAAGAGGGCTCCCACTCCCAGCACACCTCCTTCTCCTGCACGTTCTCCCTCACCCTCTCCTCTTTCCCTGGTGGTTTCCCATGGGACACGGGGGACGGAGCACGCACCAACTCATGCACAGCTCGCCCTTTATCAATCACTGCACATAAAATTACGATTCCAAAATCTCACCTCCTCTCTGTGCCCTTCTCCATTGCCCAGCCCAGCTCACAGTGGTGGGACCAGGACACCCTCTCACTGCCACCGTGGGGCAGGATGTCGTGCTGCCCTGCCACTTGTCCCCTCTCCGGGATGCTCACAGCTTGGAGGTCAGGTGGATTCGGCACAGGTTATCTGAGACAGTGCACCACTACCACAATGGAGAGGACCTGTATGGAGAACAGATGGGGGCATATGCCGGGAGGACAGAGTTGGTCAGAGATGGTCTCTCTGCTGGAAGCCTGGACTTGCGAATCACGGGGCTGAGACCCTCTGATGATGGCCAGTACTTTTGCACTGTGGAAGATGCTGATGCTTATGCCGAAGCTATTGTGGATCTGGAGGTGTCAGGTTAGTGGCTGGGGTGATGCTGCCAGGGCAAAGTTTATGTGTCCTTTGAATGTTTCAGCTGTTTCACAGCATGGAGCATGCCCATGGATGTGGAGGTAATATTTGGGGAGAGAGCTCCCTGGAGACTTTTGTCAGTTTTCACTGGTGTCCTTGAAGACAATAATCATAATATTGTGAGGGCACTGGGCACAGGCTGCTGAGCAGCACCTTCAGCTGTGTCAGCAATGGGATCAAACAGCACATAGGGAGTCACAGAGTCCTCTGAGCAGGCAGACGTCTGCTTTACTTTTGCTTTCAGCGCTGGGGGAGAACTGAGACGTTGTCAGGAAGTCTTGGGGCTTCTTGACCCAGCACGGCTTGGTGCAGAGATGCTGTCTGGAGGTGCTGAAGTTCAGCACCTGGGTTTCGTGGGCAATTTGGAACCACTGGCTTTATGCAGCCCTGCTCTCTGGATTTTGCATCTCGTCCTTCAGCCCCTGGGGCCGTTGCTGTGATGGACTGTGTCTGGCATGGGAGCAGATGGGGTCTTTGCCTTGGAACTGAATCCCTCCCCAAGGCAAGCCCCAGCCACACGCTCTTCCCCCAGCCACAGGCGCTGACCCCCACCTCTCCCTGGGTGGCTACGAGGCCGGAGGCGTCCGGGTGCTGTGTCGATCGGCCGGCTGGTACCCGCTGCCGCAGCTGCTGTGGAGGGATGCTCGCGGGCAGCACCTGCCCTCAGTCTCCCAGACACATTCCCAGGACCAGGAGGGGCTCTTTGAAATCGAAGGTGCCGTCATCGTGATCGGGAGCGTGGAGGGGCCCTTGACCTGCGTGGTCAGGAACAGCCGCATCCAGCAGGAGTGGGAATCATCCCTGCACATCGCAGGTACAAATGGCACAGCCAGGGTGAGGTGTTCCTGGCCCCTGCACTTGTCCCAACCCAGGAGAAGTCTGGGTCTTGCTCTTCCACCTGCGCACATGGAAATGCAGCCCCTTTCCTGCTGCCTTTTCTCAGCTCCCTTCTTCCACAACGCCCAGCCCTGGATGGTGGCTCTGTCTCTGGTCCTGGTGCTTTTGGCTGTGTCCATTGGCCTCGGTGTTTATCTCTTTCGAAAGCAAGGTAAGCTGGCAGCGCAGGGATGGAGCGGAGGGAGGTGTTCTGCAGGGTCCCCCCTGGGTCTGGAGTGGGGCTGAGCCCTGGCCCAGGGAGGTGCATAGGAGGAGGAAGGGAATGTTCTCCTGGGGATGCCAAAGGCCTTAGGATGCTCTTGGGTGGGAGGCCAGGGAGCATGGCTGCAGCGTGGGGCTGGTGGCAAGGCGCAGCCCCCCTCCACATGCTCCCACCCAGCAACCAAGCTGCTCTGCTCACCACCTCTTCCTCCGCCTTTGCTTTTCAGCAGCACAGAGCCAAGAGCTGGGTGAGTCCTTGCAGTCCCTGCCCCCAGCCCCTGGGGAAGTGGTGTCTGTGTGGGAGGGCCTGGGCTGGGTGGGCTCTGGGGGCTTGTGTGCTGGTGGCTTGGGGGTGCTGGAGGAGCAGCTGGAGCCTGGGGTGGGAGTGGGGAGTGCTGGGGCTGGGGCTGCCCTGGGCACGGGACACGGCCGGGATGGCTGAAAGGAACGGGGATCAAGGTGAGGACAGGGAGCGAGCTGCGGGGCTGCCCCGCTCTGCACTGATGCTTCTGGGACAGGGACGTCCTCCACCCGTCCCCATTCACTTCCCCTTGTGTTTTGGTGGCACGGTGCAGAGAGCTGCACAAGTGTCTGTCCTTACTGCTACAAGTCTTGCAAAAAGCTGGGCCTAGTTCTTTGTTAATCTGGTCCCTCTCAATCTGAGAGCAAGACTGTCTGTGCCCACTCACAAGGGCAAAGAAATTTGGGGTAAAGCCATAGAATTAGCCAAGGAATTTGAAGCACTCCTCTCTGAACATGCATTGCTTTTGCTTTCCTTTTCTAGTGAGAAAAGACGCAATGATCGGTAAGATTCCCTTCATAAACCCAAGGACTTGGCACCTTTCCATGGCAGCAGCCATGGGCTGAGCAGCTCCCACTCTCATCATGCCTTGCTTTACTCTTCCTTTACCAGTGGAACAAGCTGCAGAGCTGGGTGAGTGTCACAGAGCCTGGCCTCCATGATATCTCAGGGCTGGCCCCTCACCCTGCCCACACCCACTGGGCACCAGCCGTGGGCTGTGACCAGCTCTCCCCTCTCCTTCCAGCATGGAGAAAGTTTCTGCTGCCTCACAATACAGGTAGGTGTGCATTGGGTTGCCCTCTGAGGTGCTTCTCCTGCCCTTGCTGGGCCATGTTCAGGAGCCAAGAGGTGCCCCATCTCTTGCCCGTGGGGCAGCTCCTGGCCCCGAGCTGGGGAAAGCCTGCTCAGGGCTGAGCTCTGCCCCTGATGGCCTGGCTACTTCTGTCCCTGCAGTGAAGGTGACCCTGGATCCGGACACGGCTCATCCCCTGCTTGTTGTGTCTCAGGACAACAGCAGTGTGAGACGGGAAAGTGAACGGCAGCAGGTTCCTGACACACCAGAGAGATTTGACACTAGTTTCTGTGTGCTGGGCCATAAGGACTTCAGAGAGGGGAGGCACTGCTGGTTGGTAGAGGTGGAGGGAAAGCGGCTAAAGGATTCTTGGTGGGCTGTGGGGGTGACCAGGGCTTCTGTGGAGAGGAAGGGGAAAATTAACATGAGCCCTAGAGAAGGGATCTGGGCTGTGGAATACTATAATGATCATCTCAAGTCTCTCACATCTCCTCCCACCCCCTTGTCCCTGTCCCCTGTCCCCACAAGGATCTGGGTCTGTCTGGACTGTACCCAGGGGCAGGTGACTTTTATCAACGCTGACAACGGGGTCCAGATCTTCACTTTCACAGCAGTCTTCTTCAATGGGGAGAGCATCCGCCCCTGGTTCCTGTTGTGGACACGGGAAATTCAGCTGTGCCTGAGGGACAGCACACCACCAACCCCAAAACGAGCCCTGGGGACATCCTGCCCTTCTCCAGACACTCCTGCATCACCTATCCTTGGTTCTGCAGGAGCAGCACAGGAATGAGGGGCAGTGGGGTCAGGGGCTCTCCTTTATTCCTCCCTGCTGCTGGGGGAAGGCTGGGATTCTAAAACCAGGGGCCAGGCCCCTTGCAGCCCCTGGGCTCTGCCCTGCACGTGGCTCCTGTGCTGGGGCACAAGCTCTGCTGGCACCCACGGGTCTCCCCCTGCCTCTGAGCCCCAGCGGGCAGCACAGGGACTGCAGCAGCTCTCCACGCTCCTCTCCCCTCTGCTTGCAGTCCCCAGGGCAAGGGATGTCGTCACCGTGTGTTGCGGGCCATTGCAGGCCACCTTTGCCTCCTAGGTTGGGGTTGATCCTTGCTCTGTGCCTGGTGCTGAGCATGAGCAGCCTGTGGGGGCTCTGTGTTCCCTCTTCTGGAGTATATGTACCCAAGGCCCAGCAGCAGCAGGACTGTGGCAAATAAAGTTTTTGCACAGGAAGATGGAGTCTGGCAGTGGCATTTCCTGGGTGCTTTGTGTCCTGAGGCCTTGCTGCCTGGGAAGGTGTCTTGCAGAAGACCGTCTCCTCACACGCCTTGCCCTGCAGAGCCTTCGCCGTCCTCGTAGCCCTCCGTTGGAGGCTCTCGCACAGTTTCACGCCCTTCGTCTGCTGCGGTGCACACAGCTGCATGCAGTGCTCGAGGCGAGGCCGCAGCAAGCTGGGCAGAGTGGGACGATCCCTTCCCTCGGCCGGCCAGCAGTGCCGTGCCTGAGGCACCCCAGGGCGCGCTTGGCCCTTTGGGGTCCCAAGCCATGGCCCCCACACACCCGCTCCTCTTGGTGAGACACCGTAGGACTGTGTGAGCCTCTGCCATCTTCCCAGAACACTGCAGAGACACCAGCAGGGCTTGTGGAGCATCTTTATTGTCAGCACCACGACATCGGGTCTGAGATGGGGCCAACCGGGAGTCGCCGGTGCCAGGAGGTGTCCGTCTGGGGGTCCTCAGATGCTGCCTAGAGAAAGGGGGGACACAAAGGGGAAAAGATGGGATGATTTGCCCCTTGCCAATGGGGACGGGGATAGGGACACTGTTAACTGCAGGGTAGTTGTCTAAAGGGAGGGGAGTGTAACCTGCGGAGGGGGGAAGAGGAGTGAGCAGAGTCCTCGTCACCCTTGACCAGGGCCCCAGCTCTCCCCAGACACTCACACGGGGCAGGAGGCCTGGCCCTGAAGCGGTAGACACAGGCGAGAAAGAAGCCAAGTCCCAGCACGATCAGCATGGTGGCCACCACCACCAGTATCGTCACCTCTGGCATCAGTCCGGGACCTGCGGAGACACGGCCGGGTGAGTGGCAGCAAGGAGCCAAGACCGCCGGCCTCCGAGTGCGGTCCTGCACCTCTCCACTCACTCCAGTCCTCCAGGAGAGGCTCCTGCAGGCTGACGTGCTGCACCGAGCATGTGTAGGTGTCGCCTGCCACCAGGGCCACCAGCAGGGACAGCTGCGTCTGGTAGCTCCAGTCGCCATTGGGGATGGAGGAGATGGGGTTGTAGTCGTCGGGCTCCATGATGTCCCCGTTGTGCAGCCAGATGACGGTCACCTCAGGGGAGTAGAAGCCCCAGATGTGGCAGCTGAGGCGGACGGGCACACGGGCGTTCCCCGTCTCCGCGGGGATGATGCAGACTTGGGGCTGCACTGGAGCAGGGATGGGGATGGGGTCAGTGGTGGGCGAGCCCCTTTTCCCTGCCCTGTGCAATGTCCCCACGCAATGTTCTGTGCAACACTCCAGTGCAAGGCTTTCTACAGCAGAGCAGAGGATTGGACAGGCAGGGCTATGTTTTTTCGTTATCGAGCCCACTTGAGGGAGCCACCAGGACCTGGCAGCCTTCGCCATGGAGGCTGACGAGGCTTACGTGAAGCCAGCATGGACCCCTCCCTGAAGGTTCAGAAACAGCACCTGGGGAGTGCAAAGACGAGGAAAGCGGCGACCAGGGCGGGCAAACACAGCATGGCGCATCAGAAGGGAGTGGCACGGCAGTCCATGCAGGCACGGTGAGCAGGGAGGGCAGAGCGTTCCCCCCCCGCCCATACGAACACCTCCTCTAACGGCAGTCTACCACTAGCTAGGCTGCAATGGTCTCCACCAGGCACAGTGCTCTCTCTAGCAAGTCTGTACACACCCAGACTGACTGCCTGCTCAAAAATGCACCAGTTCAGGTCTCTGGGTGCAGGGAGCGTCTGAGCCTCTTGCTGCCATCTGCAGGAGGCAGAGAGACTGTGTGTGTGTGAGGTGTGAGCAGGTGGATGACCTGGTCCACCTGGTGGCAGAACTCAAGGAGGAGGTGGAGAGGTTGAGGGCTATCAGGGAGTGTGAGCGGGAGACAGAGTGGTGGGGCAACTCCCTGCGGATCCTGAAGGAGAGGTACCAGGGTGAGACACCCCAAATGGGGGTGGACCCCCTCCCCTGTCGATTTTGGGCATAGGTAGGGGACCTAGGAGTTGAGGAGGAATGGAGACAGGTCACTGCTCGACATCGCAGGCGATGCCACCCTCTGCCGGCCCCACCTTCCCAGGTGCCCTTCCACAACAGGTTTGAGGCCCTGGAGCTTGAGAGACCAGTAGCTGAGGAAGAGGTAGAAAGTGTAGCCAGGAGGATGCCTAGGGTGAGGAAGTCAAATCCACGCCTCAGGACTGCCTCCACCAGGACAGAAAGAAGGGTGATTGTTGTAGGCGACTCCCTTCTCAGGGGAACAAAGGGCCCTAATTGTCAGCCTGACCCTACCCATAAAGAAGTGTGCTGCCTCCCTGGGACCAGGGTCAGAGACATTGCCAGAAAGCTTCCCAAACTCTTTGCCCCTCTGATTGCTATCCTCTTTTGACAGTGCAGGCTGGCAGTGATGACACTGAAGAGAGAAGCCTGAAGGCTGTCAAACAGGGCGTTAGGGGACTGTGCAGTTAGTGGATGGAGCGGGAGTACAGGTGGAGCAGATCTCCATGCAGCAGCCCGTGGAGGAGCCCCCAGTGCAGGAGGAGGAAGGGGCCTGGAGGAGGCTGTGGCCCATGGAGAGCCCCACAAATCCAGGCCCCAGGCAGGAGCTGCAGCCCATGGAGAGGAGCCCCCGCAGGATCAGGAGGTCTGGGGGGAGCTACCACCCGTGGGGGACCCAGACTGGAACAGTTTCCTCCTGACAGATGTACCTCATACTACAAACCCATACTGGGGCAGTTGTTGGAGAGCTGCTGCCTGTGGGAAACACATATAGGATCAGTTTTGGAAGGACGGCATCCCATGGGAGGAGTTGTGCACTCGGCTGAGGGTGGAGAGGCCTTGCAAGGAGATCTGGACAGATTGGAGAGCTGGGCAATCACCAACTGCATGAAGTTTAACAAAGGCAAGTACTGGGTCCTGCACCTGGGATGGGGCAACCCTGGCTATATGTGCAGACTGGGGGATGAGACACTGGAGATCAGCCCTGCAGAGAGAGATCTGGGGGTTGTGGTTGACAGCAAGCTGAACATGAGCCAGCAGTGTACCCTAGCAGCCAGGAGGGCCAACTGTATCCTGGGGTGCATCGAGCACGGCATTGCTAGTTGGCCCAGGGAGGTGATTGTCCCACTCTACTCTGCGCTCTGCGGCCTCACCTCGAGGACTCTGTGCAGTTCTGGGCACCACAGTACAAGAAGGACGTGAAACTATTGGAGAGTGTCCATAGAAAAGCCCCAGAGATGGTGAAGGGCCTAGAGGGGAAGATGTATGCCTTCAGCCAGTTCTCTTAGTACTCTGGGATGAATCCCATCAGGCCCTGTAGTCTTGTATGCATTCATCTGGAGCAGCAAATCCCACACAAATTCGGGGTTTCTTGGGACTTTATCATTCCTGCAGTCACTGTCCTCCAGCTCAGGGCACCTGGGGTCCCACAGCCCAGCATCAGTGTTGAGGCAAAGAAAGCAATAGACATCTCTGTGAATGATCCTGTCTGACCATCCCCATCAAGTAACAGACCAATGCTTTCTCTCATCCTACTTTTGCTGTTAAGAGAGATTAAGGAAAAAAAAAAAAAAAAAAAAAAAAAAGGATTTTATTTCCCTTCACAGTACTGTCCAGATTCAACTCAAATTAAGCTTTGGCCATATGAATTTTCTCCTTACAAAGGCAAACAGTACCTCTGTAGTCTTTCCATGTTGACTCTCTTCCCTTCCAGCAAACAGGAACTTTCCTCATCCACCTAAGCTCTAGAAGAAGGTCTCTGCCCATCTGAGCAAACCTTCTGCCATGGCTGCTTTAATGAAGATGGGATCAGGGCTGGCACTTTGCCTTCAGCACCCTGGGCAAAGGGTGGCAGCTCTGGGCTCGACACCCAGCTGCGCCCGATTCCCTGCAGCTTCCGATCCTGCTCAGCTCTTCACTGCCATCTCTCCACATTTTCCAATTGCTCACAGTTTGATTCCTTCTTGCATACATGGAGATGAACGAACATAGCAAGTGGCTTTCCCTGGAGGTCTGGAGAGGCCCCCACTGGGGTCAAGCACCTCGTGCTTGCTAAAGGCAGTGGACTGGGCACCCAGCTGCAATGGGATGGTGGTGCCAGCCCTGCAGAGCTCCCCAGACATTGCCCCAGGGGCAGAGCTGCTCCAGGAGGGTTATTGCAGCCAGGAACTGGGCAAAGGTTGGGAAAGTTGGGCGGAGCCTTGTACTTTCTGCAGCTCTGCTGGGTGCCGTGAGGGAGATCTAACTTGGCTTGGAGAAAAACCTCTGGGGGGCCACCTGTCCCCTGGGGGACCTCTCTCTCAGATGGGGCTCCCCTGGGCCTGCGGCCACCACAGCCTCACCTGCCATGCCAGGGGCCTCCTGACTTCCCTTGTCACTCTGCTCCTCCTCCGCCTGGGCTCAGGTAGGATCCTGCGGGGCTGCTGGGGGCTCTCCCCCCTGTACATGCAGACTTGCTACTGCGGGACAGGGGAGCGGCCATGGGAAAGAGGGGACTGGAGCCCACAGCTCGCCCGTGCTGGGTTTCACTTTCACTTTGGTTCTTTCACGCAATATGGCTGCTGCCTTGCCTGCCCTTTCTGTGTCTCCTTCACCCGCCCGAATGCTGCAGAGAGGGCTCCCACTCCCAGCACACCTCCTTCTCCTGCACGTCCTCCCTCTCTCCCTCTCCTGTTTCCCCGGTCATATCCCATGGGACACGGGGGACACAGCACGCACCAACTCACACACCAACTCACGCCCTTTGTCACTCACTGACCCTAAATTTACGATGGCAAAATCTTACCTCCTCTCTGTGCCCTTCTCCATTGCCCAGTGTCAGAAACATCTCAAATAGTTTTCTTCAGACAGGAACTTCTGTGACGCTCTTTTATTCACGATTGCAATGGTCCTGCCAATCAGGAGCACATTTTAGTAAACAAATCCGAACCTTTTATTCCCCATTACCCAACACCTGATCACCTCCCCTGTTTCCTCATTGGATGAGCCCTAAAGGTTCACAAGACACAATATATGGTCTTCTATACCATATATGTATAATTTTTCTTTCTTTCTTTCTTTTTTTCAACACTTTAATTATTCCTTTCTCATATTTTGAGAACTTGTGATCTTTGCTTTCCTGTTCTCACACTGCTCATCCTCTTTTTCTCAAGCTTCTACCTTATTTTGGAACAGTGAGACCTTCTACGGTCCACTTAGCTTCTTAGCATTTCTCCTTATTATGACTACACAATTACCTTGGAATGCAGAAAAATAATTCTCTGCTGCAAAAACACAACATTGTTTCTCACACCAGCCCAGCTCAGAGTGGAGGGACCAGGCCAGCCTGTCACTGCCGCCGTGGGACAGGATGTCGTGCTGCCCTGCCACTTGTCCCCTCAACGCGATGCTCGCAGCTTGGAGGTCAGGTGGATCCGGGACAAGTTCTCTGAGACAGTGCACCACTACCGCAATGGAGAGGACCTGTACGGGGAGCAGATGGGGGCATATGTTGGGAGGACAGAGTTGGCCAGGGATGGTCTCTCTGCTGGAAGCCTGGACTTGCGAATCACGGGGCTGAGACCCTCTGATGATGGCCAGTACATCTGCACTGTGGAAGATGCTGATACTTATGCTGAAGCCATTGTGGAGCTGGAGGTGTCAGGTTAGTGTCTGGGTTGAGGCATTCAAGGGATGGTGCAGGTGTCCCCGGGTTTGTGTGTCCCACCCAGGACCCGGTCCCATCCTCATGGCCATCTACGTGGCCTTTCGAACAGTACAGTGTGATGGGGCTTCTCCTCTGTCAGTGAGCACTTGTACAGGAAGAAGTAGACCTGTGTCCTTGCAGGCTTTTTATTGAGAGAGAGATGCATGAATGCAATGATTTAATTCAATCTCAGGGACCCTCATTGAACTCCATTCCCATGCTGTTGTGTGGGCAGTGGGCACAGGTTGCTGAGCAGGTCCTTCAGCTGTGCCAACAACACGTGTGGGTTAGGGGTGAGAGTGGATCCTTGAAGCGTCCAGTCCCTGAGCCCCTGGGGACATGGCTGGTCTGTGCTGTGTCTGGCATGGGAGCAGATGGGGTCTTTGCCTTGAAACTGAATCCCTCCCCAAGTCAAGCCCCAGACACACGCTCTTCCCCCAGCCACAGGCGCTGATCCCCACCTCTCCCTGGGGGGCTACGAGGCCGGGGGCGTCCGGGTGCTGTGTCGATCGGCCGGCTGGTACCCGCTGCCGCAGCTGCTGTGGAGGGATGCTCGCGGGCAGCACCTGCCCTCGGTCTCCCAGACACATTCCCAGGACCAGGAGGGGCTCTTTGAAATCGAAGGTGCCGTCATCGTGACCGGGAGCGTGGAGGGGTCCTTGTCTTGCGTGGTCAGGAACAGCCGCATCCAGCAGGAGAGGGAATTTTCCCTGCACATCGCAGGTACAAATGGCACAGCCAGGACGAGGTGTTCCTGGCCCCTGCACTTCTCCTGAGCCAGGAGAAGTCTGGGTCTTGCTCTTCCATCTGCGCACATGGAAATGCAGCCCCTTTCCTGCTGCCTTTTCTCAGCTTCATTCTTCCACAACGCCCAACTCTGGATGGTGGCTCTGGCTCTGGTCCTCGTGCTTTTGGCTGTGTCCATTGGCCTCGGTGTTTATCTCTTTGTAAAGAAAAGTAAGTTAGCAGCGCAGGAATGGAGCAGAGCCGGGTGTTCTGCAGGGACCCGCGTGGGTCTGGAGCAAGGGGCCTTGGGTGGGAGGCCAGGGAGCATGGCTACAGCGTGGGGATGGTGGCAAGGCGCAGCCCCTCTGCAGATATTCCCACCCAGCAACCAAGCTGCTCTGCTCACCACCTGTTCCTCCGCCTTTGCTTTTCAGCGGCACAGAGCCGAGAGCTGGGTGAGTCCTTGCAGTCCCTGCCCCCAGCCCCCGGGGAAGTGGTGTCCCTGCGGGAGGGACTGGTCTGGGTGGGCTCTGGGGGCTTGTGTGCTGGTGGCTCGGGGGTGCTGGAGGAGCAGCTGGAGCCTGGGGTGGGAGTGGGGAGTGCTGGGGCTGGGGCTGCCCTGGGCACAAAACACGGCCGGGATGGCTGAAAGGAAAGGGAATCAAGGTGGGGACAGGGAGTGAGCTGTGGGGCTGCCCCTCTCTGCACTGATGCTTCTGGGACAGGGACGTCCTCCAGCTATCCCCATTCACTTCCACTTGTGTTTTGGTGGCACGGTGCAGAGAGCTGCACAAGTGTCTGTCCTTAATGCTACAAGTCTTGCAAAATGCTGGGCCTCGGTCCTTGTTAGTCTGGTCACTACAAGTCTGGGAGCAGGTTGGTCTGTGCACATACATGACAGCAAAAGAATTTGGGGTCTAGCCATCTAGCCATGGAAGCAGCAATGTGGTGAAAGTCTCTCCACTCTGACCAGTCATTCCTTTTGCTTTTCTATATCAGCCAAAAAGGATGCAAAGCTGGGGAAGTCTCCTTCCCCAAGGAGAATTCATTTGGTGTCTTCCCATGGGCATACTCCCCTCTGACCGTACATTGCTTCTCTTTTTCTTTTCCAGTGCAACAAGCTGCAGAGATAGGTGAGTATCCATCCATGAACTGAAAGAATTTGTGGTATAGACATGGGATGAGAAGTTTTTCCCTCTGATCATGTATTCCTTATGCTTTTCCAGAAGAAAAAGCTGAAAGACTGGGTGAGTCTCTCTTTCCCTGCACCCTCCCCCCAGGACTGAAGGAACTGGGGGGCATTCCTTTATAGCAGCCCCTTGATAAGAACCCGATTCCTCTCATCGATGCATTGCTCTTATTTTCCTTTTCAGAGGAACAAGCTGCAGAGCTGGGTGAGTGTCCCCATCCTTGAGCCCCAGGGCAACACCAAGGCGATGTGCAGGGGAGGGTGGGCAGCTGGGACAGAGCAGCCCAGGGCTGGCCCCTCACCCTGCCCACACCCACTGGCCACCAGCCATGGGCTGTGACCAGCTCTCCCCTCTCCTTCCAGCATGGAGAAGGTCTGTCCTGCCTCATAATAGAGGTATGTGTGCATTGGGTTGCCCTCTGAGGTGCTTCTCCTGCCCTTGCTGGGGCATGTTCAGGAGCCAAGAGGTGCCCCATCTCCTGCCCCGTGGGGCAGCTCCTGGCCCCGAGCCGGGGAAAGCCTGCCCAGGGCTGAGCTCTGCCCCTGATGGCCTGGCTCCTTCTGTCCCTGCAGTGAAGGTGACCCTGGATCCAGACACGGCTCATCCCCAGCTTGTTGTGTCTCAGGACAAGAGCAGTGTGAGACGGGAAAGTGAATGGCAGCAGGTTCCTGACACACCAGAGAGATTTATCTATTTGTGCTGCGTGCTGGGCCGTGAGGAGTTCAGAGAGCGGAAGCACTGCTGGTTGGTGGAGGTGGAGGGAGAGTGGCTAAGGATTCATGGTGGGCTGTGGGGGTGGCCAGGGCATCTGTGAAGAGAAAGAAGTGGATCAACATGAGCCCTGAAGAAGGGATCTTGGCTGTGCAGTACTATCAGGGGCAGCTCGAGTCTCTCACATCTCCTCCCACTCCCTTGTCCCTGTCCCCTGTCCCAACAAGGATCTGGGTCTGTCTGGACTGTACCCAGGAGCGGGTGTCGTTTATCAATGCTGACAATGGGGTCGAGATCTTCACTTTCACAGCAGCCTCCTTCAATGGCGAGACCATCCGCCCCTGGTTCCTGTTGTGGACATGGGAAATTCAGCTGTGCCTGAGGGACAGCACCCCCCAGACCCCGTCCCCAGCCCTGGGGAGCTCCAGCCCTTCTCCAGACACTCCTGCATCACCTCTCCTTGGTTCTGCAGGAGCAGCACAGAAATGAAGGGCAGTGGGGTCAGGGGCTGCCCGGTGTTCCTCCCTGCTGCTGGAGGAGGGCTGGGATGCTGCAAGCAGGGGCCAGGCCCCTTGCAGCCCCTGGGCTCTGCCCTGCACGTGGCTCCTGTGCTGGGGCACAAGCCCTGCTGGCACCCACGGGTCTCCCCCTGCCTCTGAGCCCCAGCGGGCAGCACAGGGGCTGCAGCAGCTCTCCACGCTCCTCTCCCCTCTGCTTGCAGACCCCAGGGCAAGGGATGTGGTCACTGTGTGCTGCTGGCCAGTGCAGGCCACCTTTGCCTCCTAGGTTGGGGTTGATCCTTGCTCTGTGCCTGGTGCTGAGCATGAGCAGCCTGTGGGGGCTCTTTGTTCCCTCCTCTGGAGCACATCAAGGCCCAGCAGCAGCAGGACTGTGGCAAATAAAGTTTTGTACAGGAAGATGGAGTCTGGCAGTGGCATTTCCTGGGTGCTTTGTGTCCTGAGGCCTTGCTGCCTGGGAAGGCGTCTTGCAGCAGACCGTCTCCTCAGACACCTTGCCCTGCAGAGCCTTCGCCGTCCTCGTAGCCCTCCCTTGGAGGCTCTCGCACAGTTTCACGCCCTTCGTCTGCTGAGGTGCCCACAGCTGCATGCAGTGCTCGAGGCGAGGCCGCAGCAGGCCAAGCAGAGCAGGACGATCCCTTCCCTTTGGGGTCCCATGCCATGTCCCCCACAACCTCGTTCCTCTTGGTAACACACTGTAGGAGTGTGTGAGCCTCTGCCCAGTGCACAGAACACTGCAGATACACCAGCGGGGCTTGTGGAGCATCTTTATTGTCAGCACCACGGCATCGGGTCTGAGATGGGGCCAAACGGGAGCCACCGGTGCCGGGAGGTGTCCGTCTGGGGGTCCTCAGATGCTGCCTGGGGAAGGGGGGGACACACAGGGCGAGAGATGGGGTGATTTGCCCCTTGCCAATGGGGACGGGGATGGAGACACCGTTACCTGTGGGGTCGTTGCCTGGCCCTGAAGCGGTAGACGCCAGCGAGAAAGAAGCCAAGTCCCAGCACCATCAGCACAGTGGCCACCACCACCAGTATCGTCACCTCTGGCATCAGTCCGGGACCTGTGGGGACACGGCCGGGTGAGTGGCAGCAAGGAGCCAAGACCGCCGGCATCCGGCTGCGGTCCTGCACCTCTCCACTCACTCCAGTCCTCCAGGAGAGGCTCCTGCAGGCTGACGTGCTGCACCGAGCACGTGTAGGTGTCGCCTGCCACCGGGGCCACCAGCAGGGACACCTGCGTCTGGTAGCTCCAGTCGCCATTGGGGATGGCGGAGATGGGGTTGTAGTCATTGGGCTCCACAATGTCCCCGTTGTGCAGCCAGATGACGGTCACCTCAGGGGGGTAGAAGCCCCAGATGTGGCAGCTGAGGCGCACGGGCACACTGGCGTTCCCCGTCGCCGCGGGGATGATGCAGACTTGGGGCTGCGCTGGAGCAGGGATGGGGATGGTGTCAGTGGTGGGAGAGCCCCTTTCCCTGCCCTGTGCAACGTCTCCACGCAATGTTCCTTGCAACGCTCCCATGCAATGCCCTGTGCAAAGCTCCACGCAACTTCCCCATGCCTCTTCCCCATGAAACGCCCTGTGCAAGTTCTAGGCATTGTCCCATGCAATGTCATACGCGACATCCCCATGCGATGCTCACAAGATGCCCTGTGCAACGCTCCTGTGCCACACCCTGCAAGAGGCATTGCTCTGTGCAACATCCCCTTGCAAAGGGCAATGCAATGAGCTGTTCAGTGCTGCATGTAACATCCCCCTGTGACGTCCTCACGCAGCATGCTCTGCAACACCCCCATGCAATGTCCGTTGCAACATCTTGCCAAAGCAATTAGCTGCAGGGCAGATTCTTTCTGCAGCAGAGCAGGGGATCCGATGGGCAGGGTTATTTTCTTCCAGCATCGAGCCCACTTGAGGGAGACACCAGGACCCAGCAGCCCTTTCGAGGGAGGCTAACAAGGCGTAGGCAGAGCCAGCAAGGCCCCGTGCCTGGCCGTTCAAAAGCAACCCCTGAGAAGTCCGACGACAAGGAATGCAGCGACCAAGGTGGGCAAACAGGGCATGGCGCATCAGAAGGGAGTGGCAGGCAGTTCATGCAGGGAGGGTGAGCAGGGAGGGCAGAGCATTCCTCCCCGCCCATATGAACAACTCCTCTAACGGTGGTCTACTTCTAGCTAGGCTGCAATGGTCTCCACCAGGCACAGTGCTCTCTGTAGCAAGTCTGTACACACCCAGACTGACTGCCCGCTCAAAAATGCACCAGTTCAGGTCTCTGGGTGCAGGGAGCGTCTGAGCCTCTTGCTGCCATCTGCGGCAGGAAGAGAGACTGTGTGTGCGTGAGGTGTGAGCAGGTGGATGACCTGGTCCACCTGGTGGCAGAACTCAAGGAGGAGGTGGAGAGGTTGAGGGCTATCAGGGAGTGAGAGCGGGAGATAGAGTGGTGGGGAACTCCCTGCAGGGCCAGAAGGAGAGGTACCAGGGTGAGACACCCCAAATGGGGGTGGACCCCCTCCCCTGTCGCTGTCGGGCAGAGGGACGGCACCTGGGAGTTGAGGAGGAATGGAGACAGGTCCCTGCTCGACATCGCAGGTGATCCCCTCCCCAAAAGGCCCCACCTTCCCAGGTGCCCTTCCACAACAGGTTTGAGGCCCTGGAGCTTGAGGGACCGGGAGCTGAGGAAGAGGTAGAAAGTGTAGCCAGGAGGATGCCTACACTCAGGAAGTCGACTCCACGCCTCAGGACTGCTCTCCTCTTTTGATAGTCCAGGCTGGCAGTGATGACAATGAAGAGAGAAGCCTGAAGGCTATCAAATGGGACGTTAGGGGACTGAGGCGGTTAGTGGATGGAGCGGGAGTACAGGTGGAGCAGATCTCCACACTGCAGCCCATGGAGGAGCCCCCGGTGCAGGAGGTGGAAGGGGCCTGGAGGAGGCTGCAGCCCATGGAGAGCTGCAGGAGCAGGCCCCAGGCCAGAGCCACAGCCCATGGAGAGGAGCCCCCGCAGGATCAGGAGGTCTGGGGGGACCTGCAACCTATGGGTTATCCAGATTGGAACAGTTTGCTCCTGACAGATGTACCTCATACTACAGACCCATACTGGGGCAGTTGCTGGAGAGCTGCTGCCTGTGGGAAGCCCATGTAGGATCAGTTTTGGAAGGACGGCATCCCATGGGAGGAGTTGTTGACTCGGCTGAGGGTGGAAAGCTCTTGCAGAGAGATCTGGACAGACTGGAGACTGGGCAATCACCAACTGCATGAAGTTTAACAAAGGCAAGTGCCAGGTCCTGCACCTGGGACACAGCAACCCTGGCTATACGTGCAGACTGGGGGATGAGACACTGGAGAGCAGCCCTGCAGAGAGAGATCTGGGGGTTGTGGTTGACAGCAAGCTGAACATGAGCCAGCAGTGTGCCCGAGCAGCCAGGAGGGCCAACTGTATCCTGGGGTGCATCGAGCACGGCATTGCTAGTCGGTCAAGGGAGGTGATTGTCCTGCTCTGCTCTGCGCTCTGCAGCCTCACCTCGAGGACTCTATGCAGTTCTGGCCACCACAGTACAAGAAGGACGTGAAACTATTGGAGAGTGTCCAGAGAAAGGCCACAGACATGGTGAAGGAAAGGACCTTGAGGGGAAGATGTATGCATTCAGCCAGATCTCTTTGTACTCTGGGATGAATCCCATCAGGCCCTATAGTATTGTATGCATTCATCTGGAGCAGCAAATCCCACACAAATTCGGGGTTGTTGGGAATATATCGTTCCTTCATTTGCTGTCCTCCAGCTCAAGGCACCTGGGGTCCCACAGCCCAGCATCAGTGTTGAAGACAAAGGCAAAGAAAGCATCAAACATCTCTGTGAATGACCCCGTCTGACCATCCCCATCAAGTAACAGACCGATGCTTTCTCTCATCCTACTTTTGCTGTTAAGAGAGTTAAAGGAAAAAAAAAAAAAAAAAAAAAAAGCATTTTATTTCCCTTCACAGTACTGTCCAGATTCAACTCAAATTGAGCTTTGGCCATATGACTTTTCTCCCTACAAAAGCAAACAGTACCTCTGTAGTCTTTCCATGTTGCCTGACTTCCCTTCCAGCAAACAGGAGTTTTCCTTATCCACCTAAGCTCTTGAAGAAGGTCCCTGCCCATCTGAGCCAACCTTCTGCCACAGTTGCTTTACTGGAGCCGGGAGAGGCACTGGCACTTTGCCTTCAGCACCCTGGGCAAAGGGTGGCACCTCTGGGCTCAGCACCCTGCTGTGCCCCATTCCCTGCAGCCTCCGATTCTGCTCAGCTCTTCACTGCCATCTCTCCACATTTTCCCATTGCTCACAGTTTGATTCCTCCTTGCATGCATGGAGATGAACAACCTTAGCCACTGGCTTTCCCTGGAGGTCTGGAGAGGCCCCCACTGGGGTCAAGCAACTCGTGCTTGCTAAAGGCAGTGGACTGGACACCCAGCTGCAATGGGATGGTGGTGCCAGCCCTGCAGAGCTCCCCAGACGTTCCCCTAGGGGCAGAGCTGCTCCAGGAGGGTTATTGCAGCCAGGAACTGGGCAAAGGTTGGGAAAGTTGGGTGGAGCCTTGTACTTTCTGCAGCTCTGCTGGGTGCCGTGAGGGACATCTCTCTTGGCTTGGAAAAAAACCCCTGGGGGGCCAACTGCCCCCTGGGGGACTTCTCTCTCAGATGGGGCTCCCCTGGGGCTGGGGCTGCCCCAGCCACACCGGCCATGCCAGGGGCCTCCTGATTTTCCTCATCACTCTGCTCCTCCTCCAGCTCGGCTCTGGTAGGATACAGCGGGGCTGCTGGGGACTCTCCCCATTGTGCATGCAGACTTGCTGCTGTGGGACAGGGGAGCAGCTTTGGGAAAGGGGGACTGGAGCCCACAGCTTGCCCGTGCTGGGTTTCACTTTCCCTTTGGTTCTTTCACACAATATGCCTGCTGCCTTGCCTGCCCTTTCTGTGTCCTTCACCCGCCCGAATGCTGCAGAGAGGGCTCCCACTCCCAGCACACCTCCTTCTCCTGCACGTCCTCCCTCTCCCTCTCCCTCTCTTGTTTACCCGGTGGTTTCCCATGGGACACAGGGGATGCAGCAAGCACCAACTCAGACACAGCTCACCCTTTCTCACTCACTGACCCTAAATTTACTGTCGCAAAATCTCACCTCCTCTCTGTGCCCTTCTCCATTGCCCAGCCCAGCTCAGAGTGGAGGGACCAGGACACCCTCTCACTGCCACCGTGGGGCAGGATGTCGTGCTGCCCTGCCACTTGTCCCCTCAACGCGATGCTCACAGCTTGGAGGTCAGGTGGATCCGGGACCAAATCTCTGAGACAGTGCACCACTACCGCAATGGAGAGGACCTGTACGGGGAGCAGATGGAGGCATATGCTGCGAGGACAGAGTTGGTCAGAGATGGTCTCTCTGCTGGAAGCCTGGACTTGCGAATCATGGGGCTGAGACCCTCTGATGATGGCCAGTACTTCTGCATTGTGGGAGATGGTCATGCTTATGACGAAGCCATTGTGGAGCTGGAGGTGTCAGGTTAGTGGCTGGGGTGATGCTGCCAGGGCAGAGTTTACATGTCCTTTGAATGTTTCAGCTGTTTCACAGCATGGAGCATGCCCATGGATGTGGAGGTAATATTTGTGGAGAGAGCTCCCTGGAGAGTTTTGTCAGTTTTCACTGGTGTCTTTGAAGACAATAATCATAATATTGTGAGGGCACTGGGCACAGGCTGCTAAGCAGCACCTTCAGCTGTGTCAGCAATGGGACCAAACAGCACACAGGGAGAATTGCAGAGTCCTCTGAGCAGCCGGATGTCTGCCTTACTTTTGCTTTCTATGCTGGGAGAGACATGAGACATTGCCTGGATATCTTGGGGTTTTTGAACCAGGATGGCTTGGTGCAGAGATGCTGCCTGGAGGTCCTGGAACTCGGTACCTGGGTTTTCTGTGTGATTTGGGGCCACTGGCATTGTGCAGCCCTGCTCTCTGGGTCCTGCAACAGCTGGAGTGGTTTTGGGCTGAGGGTGAGTGCATGAAGTGTCCAGTCAGAGAGTCCCTGGGGCCGTGTTTGGCCTGGCTGTGTCTGGCATGGGAGCAGATGGGGTCTTTGCCTTGGAACTCAATCCCTCCCCAAGTCAAGCCCCAGCCACTCTCCTTTCCCCAGCCACAGGCGCTGACCCCCACCTCTCCCTGGGGGGCTACGAGGACGGAGGCGTCTGGGTGCTGTGTTGATCGGCCGGCTGGTACCCGCTGCCGCAGCTGCTGTGGAAGGATGCTCGCGGGCAGCACCTGCCCTCAGTCTCCCAGACACATTCCCAGGACCAGGAGGGGTTCTTTGAAATCGAAGGCGCCGTCATCGTGATTGGGAGCGTGGAGGGGCCTTTGTCCTGCGTGGTCAGGAGCAGCCGCCTCCAGCAGGAGCGGGAATCATCCCTGCACATCGCAGGTACAAATGGCACAGGCAGGGTGAGGCCCATGTACTTGTCCTGACCCGGGAGAAGTCTGGGTCTTCCTCTTCCAGCAACGTGCATGTAAACACACCCCTTTTCCTGGTGTCTTTTCTCAGCTCCCTTCTTCCACTACGCCCAGCCCTGGATGGTGGCTCTGGCTCTGGTCCTCGTGCTTTTGGCTGTGTCCATTGGCCTCGGTGTTTATCTCTTTCGAAAGCAAGGTAAGCTGGCAGCGCAGGGATGGAGCGGAGGGAGGTGTTCTGCAGGGACCCCCTGGGTCTGGAGCAAGGGGCCTGTCGTGGTTCCGCTCGAGTGGGCAGCCGAGCTCCACCACAGCCGCTCTCTCACTCCCCCTCCTCAAAGAGGAATGGGGAGAAAATATGTGAAAGGGGCTCAAGGATTGAGATAAGGACGAGAAAATCACGCAATAATTAGTGTAACGGGCAAACCAGACTCAGCATAAGAAGACAGATAGTAAGATTTATTGCTCATTACTAACAAGCTAGAGAAGTGAGAAACAAATGAAAAAAAAACAAAAGCACCTCTCCCCCCATCCACCCTCTTCCACCTCCTCCCCCGAGCGGCAAAGTGGAACGGGGAATGGGGGTTATGGTCAGTCTACAGCACTTCTTCTCTGCCGCTCCTTCTCGGTCACTCTCGTCCCCTGTGCTGTGGGGTCCCACCCACGGGATGCAGTCCTTGATGAACTGATCCGGCGTGGGCTTCCCACAGGCAGCAGCTCTTGCAGAACTGCTCCAGATATGGGTCCGTACCACGGGCTGAATCCCTCAGGATCAAACTGCTCCAACCTGGCTCCCCTACGGGCAGCAGCTCCTGCCAGATCACCTGCTCCTGTGTGGTCTCCTCTCCACGGGCTACACGTCCGGCCTGGAATCTGCTCCGGCAGGGGTCTTCCACAGGCGGCAGCCTCCGTCGGTGCAGGGCCACCTGCTCCACCGTGGTCTCCTCCACGGGCTGCAGCGCGGAACCCTGCTCCACCGTGGTACTCCATGGGCTGCAGGGGGACATCCTGCTTCACCATGGTCCTCACCACAGGCCGCAGGGGACTTCTGCTCCGGCGCCTGGAGCACCTCTCCCCCTCCTTCTACACTGACCCTGGCACCTGCAAGGCTGTTTCTCACTCCCTTGACTCTCCCGGCTGCTGTGTGGCGCAGCATTTTTTCCCTGTCTTAAATATGCTCTCACAGAGGCGCAAAACAACATCGCTTATTGGCTCAGATTTGGAAAACAATGGGGCCCTTCCCAAACAAGGGGCAGCTTCTAGATCTTTCTCACAGAAACCACCCCTATGACCCCCTGCTACCAAAACCTTGCCACGTAAACCCACTACAGGGCCTTGGGTGGGAGGCCAGGGAGCATGGCTGCAGCGTGGGGCTGGTGGCAAGGCGCAGCCCCCCTGCACATGTTCCCACCCAGCAACCAAGCTGCTCTGCTCACCACCTGTTCCTCTGCCTTTGCTTTTCAGCGGCATAGAGCCGAGAGCTGGGAGAGTCCTTGCAGTCCCTGCCCCCAGCCCCTGGGGAAGTGGTGTCTGTGTGGGAGGGCCTGGTCTGGGTGGGCTCTGGGGGCTTGTGTGCTGGTGGCTCGGGGGTGCTGGAGGAGCAGCTGGAGCCTGGGGTGGGAGTGGGGAGTGCTGGGGCTGGGGCTGCCCTGGGCACAGGATATGGCTGGGATGTCTGAAAGGAACGGGGATCAAGGTGGAGATGGGGAGCGAGCTTTGTGGCTGTCCCACTCTGCACTGACACTTCTGGGACAGGGACGTCCTCCACCCATCCCCATTCACTTCCCCTTGTGTTTTGGTAGCATGGTGCAGAGAGCTGCACAAGAGTCTGTCCTTACTGCTACAAGTCTTGCAAAAAGCTGGGCCTCCGTCTTTGTTAGACTGATTGCATCAAGTCTGGGAGCAGGTTGGTCTGTGCACATACATGACAGCAAAAAAAATTTGGGGTCTAGCCATCTAGCCATGGAAGAAGCAATGTGGTGAAAGTCTTTCCACTCTGACCATTCATTCCTTTTGCTTTCCTATATCAGCCAAAAAGGATGCAAAGCTGGGGAAGTCTCCTTCCCCAAGGAGAATTCATTTGGTGTCTTCCCATGGGCATACTCCCCTCTGACCGTACATTGCTTTTCTCTTTCTTTTCCAGTGCAACAAGCTGCAGAGATAGGTGAGTATCCATCCATGAACTGAAAGAATTTGTGGTATAGACATGGGATGAGATTTTCCCTCTGATCATGTATTCCTTATGCTTTTCCAGAAGAAAAAGCTGAAAGACTGGGTGAGTCTCTCTTTTCCTGCCCCCTACCCCCAGGACTGAAGGAACTGGGGGTCATTCCTTTGTAGGAGCCACTTGATAAGTACCTGATTCCTCTCATAAATGCATTGCTCTTATTTTCCTTTTCAGAGGAACAAGCTGCAGAGCTGGGTGAGTGTCCCCGTCCTTGAGCCCCAGGGCAACACCAAGCGATGTGCAGGGGAGGGTGGGCAGCTGGGACAGAGCAGCCCAGGGCTGGCCTCTCACCCTGCCCACACCCACTGGGCACCAGCCGTTGGCTGTGACCAGCTCTCCCCTCTCCTTACAGAACGGAGAAGGTCTGTCCTGCCTCATAGTAGAGGTAGGTGTGCATTGGGTTGCCCTCTGCATTGCTTCTCCTGCCCTTGCTTTGGCATGTTCCGCAGCCAAGAGGTGCCCCATCTCCTGCCCCGTGAGGCGGCTCCTGGCCCCGAGCTGGGGAAAGCCTGCCCAGGGCTGAGCTCTGCCCCTGATGGCCTGGCTCCTTCTGTCCCTGCAGTGAAGGTAACCCTGGATCCAGACACGGCTCATCCCGGGCTTGTTGTGTCTCAAGACAAAAGCAGTGTGAGATGCGGAAGTGAACAGCAGCAGGTTCCTGACACACCAGAGAGATTTGACTATTGGTGCTGTGTGCTGGGCCGTGAGGAGTTCAGAGAGCGGAAGCACTGCTGGTTGGTCGAGTTGGAGGGAGAGCAGCTAAAGGATTCTTGGTGGGCTGTGGGGGTGGCCAGGGCTTCTGTGGAGAGAAAGGGGTGGATCGACATGAGCCCTGAAGAAGGGATCTGGGCTGTAATGTACATTAACGGGCAGCTCGTGTCTCTCACATCTGATACCACTGACTTGCCCCTGTCCCCTCTCCCCATGAGGATCTGGGTATGTCTGGACTGTACCCAGCAGCAGGTGTCTTTCTTCAACGCTGACAATGGGGTCCAGATCGTCACTTCAGCAGTCTCCTTCAATGGGGAGAGCCTCCGCCCCTGGTTCTGGATAAGGACACTGGGAATTCAGCTGTGCCTGAGAGACAGCACCCCCAAGACCTTGTCCCCAGCCCTGGGGGGTTCCTGCCCTTCTACAGACACTCCTGCATCACATCTCCTTCATCCTGCAGGAGCACTGCAGGAATGAGGGGCAGTGGGGCCAGGAACTCTTCCGTGTTCCTCCCTGCTGCTGGAGGAGGGCTGGGATGCTGCAAGCAGGGGACAGGCCCCTTGCAGCCCCTGGGCTCTGCCCTGCACACGGCTCCTGTGCTGGGGCACAAGCCCTGCTGGCACCCACGGGTCTCACCCTGCCTCTGAGCCCCAGCGGGCAGCACAGGGGCTGCAGCAGCTCTCCACACTCCTCTCCCCTCTGCTTGCACTGCTTGCAGACCCCAGGGCAAGGGATGTGGTCACCGTGTGCTGCCGGCCATTGCAGGCCACCTTTGCCTCCTAGTTTGGGGTTGATCTTTGCTCTGTGCCTGGTGCTGAGCATGAGCAGCCTGTGGGGGCTCTTTGTTCCCTCCTCTGGAGCACATCCATGCAAGACACAGCAGCAGCAGGACTGTGTCAAATAAAGTTTTGTATAGGAAGATGGAGTCTGGCAGTGGCATTTCTTGGGTGCTTTCTTTCCTGAGCCTTTGCTGCCTGGGAAGGCGTCTTGCAGCAGACCTCTCCTTGGTGTTGGTCCTGAGAGTCAGAGCCAGGAGGAACCAAAGCGCCAACTGCCCCTTGGTTCTCCATCTGTTCCCTGGCACCCCCTTGTCCCAGCTGGGTCATTACCATGCCATGAGCTAGACAAGGTAATGACCCATCTGGGACAAGTGGATCATCAAGAGCTTCCATCCTCCCATCACAAAGGCTCGGCATAGGCTGTGGCTGTGGGGGTGCATCACCAGCTTTTTGAAGTCCTCCAAGAAGAGGCAGCAGGTGGCGTCAACCTTAAAGCTGTCCGTCAGGTCCTTTCAAGCCATCTCCATGTCCCATATTTCCCTTCCACCACCCAAGTTGTTCCCGTGGCTGTTTTATTTTCCACTGCTCAGGGCAGGGTTCAGCCAGAAATGGGCTTGCAGGAGCCATGGGGCCAGCTTCACCAACCCTCAGCAATTAGTAACAATCCTGCACTCCCAGAAAACCAGTGCCACTTTTTGCACCTTGTTTAAAAGCAAGCAGGGAAACAAGCTGACATTCTCGAGCCAAATTCATTGCAGCATGTTTTAAACCTCGCAGCATTAAAATCAGGAGCAGACACAGTGCAGAAACAGGGGAAGGAAATGCGTTCGGAAGACACTGCATCCAATAGAAGCAGGTGATCCAAACAGACCAAACCTCAGTGAGAGGGAGCCTCCGTGGCTGCAGGACTCCCTTGGCCTCTTTGAAGGTTTAACTATATGAAGGTGGGAAGCTAAGAATAGGTTTTGAACCCAGCTACACAATGAGGAGACACAGATGCTCTCCTCCATCTGGTTCTCAATGCCAAGCTGAGTGGTCTCCACACCCAACCACCCATCTTCATGCACGTGGGGTCTCGCCATCCTAAAATCCCATCATCCTTCATCCCATTGAGATCCCGCCATCCTCACACCCCATCCTCTTTAATCCCAGCAGGGTCCTACCATCACAAAACCTCATTGTCCTCCACTCCAGTGGGGATCCACCACCACAAACCCCATCCACCTTCACCCCAGTGGGGTCTCATCATCTCCAATACCCCATCATCCTCCATTCCACTGGGCTCTCACCAACCCCAAACCTCAAAACCCTCCACCCACTGCAGGCCTACCATCCTCTCAGCCAATTATCCTACATCCCACTGGGCTCCCACCATCCCCAAAGCCATCCCAGGGCCAGGGACTGACTGACCACCACATTCCCTAAGCGCTACGAGAAGCTATGCCATGACCAACAGCTGCATGCCTGGTCCTCCTCAATTCACAGATGTAATCTTCAGAGGGTTGTTTGGGAAGAACAGTAAAAGTTAGGCTCCACATGGCTTTTCTGGTGGAGGAGGAGGGCTGAGGGTACAGTGAAGCCCATCCTGCAGTCAGGGCACTGATGGGGTTTCCCTACCAAGTGCTTTTTCCAATGTTGGTTGAACGCCGAGCTTTCAGAGAAGGCTTCCCCGCAGTCGGAGCAGGGATAAGGGGGTTGTCCCCAGTGAGTCCTGAGATGGGCTACGTAGACTGAATTCTCTTCAAGGCTATACTGCACTGGGAACATTTATAGGTCCCCCAGCCTGCCCGCTGGCAGGACAGAGCAAGAAGCTGAAAAGTCCTTGGCTTGGTGTAAGCACTGCTCTGCAACAATTGAAACATCAGCGTGTTCTCAGCACTCTGCTCATCCTAAGCCAAAACATAGCATTCTACCAGCTACTAGGAGGAAAATTAACTCTATCCTAATTGAAACCAGGACAGGATTTCATGATGACATCAGCCAGTTTTCTTGGTACTCTGGGATGAATCCCATCAGGCCCTATAGTCTCCACCTGTAGGAGCAAATTGCATGCTAATTCAGTATTTGCTGGGAGTTTATCATTCCTGCTCTCACGGTCCTCCAGCTCAGGGCAACTGGGGTCCCAGAGCCAGAGTCAGTGTTGAAGACAACGGCAAAAAAAGCATTAAACATGCCCCTGTTTGTGAGGAGACCATCCCCATCAAGTAAAGGACCACTGTTTTCTCCGGTTCTACTTTTGCTCTTTAGATATTTTATAAAACTCAGTTTTATTTCCCCCAACAGTTCTGTCAAGCTTCAACTCAAATTGAGCTTTAGCCATATGAATTCACCCTGATAAGGACTAGGGCAGCAGATTCTGAGCCATCGCATAGTTCCTTAAAGAACAGTTCATCCATGTCATCATCCTAGCTGCATGCAGAAGCTGTCCCTCTGGTCCTTGGAAGCCATTTCCACACCAAAGTCTCCACCGTGCTGCAGAAGGGCTTTGCTTGCCAGAGGGCAAAAGGTCTGCCCATTTCTGCCTCCACTGGGATGGACAGAGCCGGGAGTGGGGCTGGCTCTTTGTCCCCACCACCCTGGGAAAAGGGTGGCACTGAGATGCTCAGCAGCCAGCTGTGCCTCTTTCCCTGCAGCCTCCGATGTCACTCTGCCCTGCAGCATCTTGCACCCATCCCCCAAGGGTCAGGGCTCCTCCCAGATGTTTACTGCAGGCAAGAGCTGAGCACAAGTCGGTGAAGTCACGTGTAGCCTTCTAGTTCCTGCAGCTATGGTGGGTGCTGTGAGGGACGACTATTTTGGTGAGACTGCCTTGGAGAAGAACACCTGGGGCTGCCTTCTGTGTCCCCCACTCCATGATAAGCGCAGGCTCAGTGCCCTGCCCAAGGCGCTGCTGGCCGTGGCTCCCTGTGCCCAGGCCTGCAGCCCCTCAGTACCTTACTCTTCTACCCCCAGATCCTGCTCCCGCTGCAGCACAGATGGGGCTCTACAGGTTCTGCGGCCGCCCCAGCCTCACCGGCCATGCCAGAGGCTTCCTGACTTCCCTCCTCACTCTGCACCTTCTCCAGCTGGGCTCAGGTAGGATCCTGCAGAGATGCTGGGGGCTCTCCCCTCTGTGCATGCAGATGTGCTGCCATAGGGCAGGGGAGCGGCTCCAGGGTAGGGGGACCAGAGCCCACAGCTCGGTCCCTGCTGGGTTTCACTTTCCCTTTGGTTCTTTCACACAATATGGGCGCTGCCTTGACTGCCATTTTTGGCATCTTCTTCTCCTGCCCGAATGCTGCAGAGAGGGCTCCCACTCCCAGCACACCTCCTTCTCCTGCACGTCCTCCCTCTCCCTCTCCTGTTTCCCGGGTGGTTTCCCATGAGACACGGGGGACGCAGCACGCACCAACTCACGCCCTTTGCAAATCACTGCCCCTAAATTTACAATGGCAAAATCTCACCACCTCTCTGTGCCCTTCTCCATTGCCCAGCCCAGCTCAGAGTGGTGGGACCAGGACACCCTGTCACTGCCACCGTGGGGCAGGATGTCGTGCTGCCCTGCCACTTGTCCCCTCAACGCAATGCTCGCACCTTGGAGGTCAGGTGGATCCGGGCCAAGTTCTCTGAGACAGTGCACCACTACCGCAATGGAGAGGACCTGTATGGGGAGCAGATGGGGGCATATGCCGGGAGGACAGAGCTGGTCAGAGATGGTCTCTCTGCTGGAAGCCTGGACTTGAAAATCACGGGGCTGAGACCCTCTGATGATGGCCAGTACTTCTGCACTGTGGGAGATGCTGATACTTATGACGAAGCAACGGTGCATCTGGAGGTGTCAGGTTAGTGGCTGGGGTGATACATCCAAGGGGTGGTGCAGGTGTCCCCGGGTCTGTGTGTCCCACCCAGGACCCGGTCCCATATTCATGGCCATCTACGAGGCCCTGGAAACAGTAGAGTGTGATGAGGCTTCTCCTCTGTAAGTGAGCACTTGTCCACCAAGAAGTACACCTGTGTCCTTGCAGGCTTTTTATTGAGAGAAAGCTGCATGAATGCAATGATTTAATTCAGTCTCAGGGACGCTATTTGAACTCCATCCCCATGGTGTTGTGTGGACAATGGGCACAGGTTGCTGAGCAGGTCCTTCAGCTGTGCCAACAATAGGTGTGGGTTAGGGGTGAGAGTGGCTCCGTGGAGAGCCCGGTCCCTGAGCCCCTGTGACCATGGCTGTCCTGGGCTGTGTCTGGCATGGGAGCAGATGGGGTCTTTGCCTTGAAATGAATCCCTCCCCAAGTCAAGCCCCAGCCACGCGCTCTTCCCCCAGCTACAGGCGCTGACCCCCACCTCTCCCTGGGGGGCTACGAGGACAGAGGCGTCCGGGTGCTGTGTCGATCGGCCGGCTGGTACCCGCTGCCGCAGCTGCTGTGGAGGGATGCTCGCGAGCAGCACCTGTCCTCGGTCTCCCAGACGCATTCCCAGGACCAGGAGGGGCTCTTTGAAATCAAAGGTGCCGTCATCGTGACCGGGAGCGTGGAGGGGCCCTTGTCCTGCGTGGTCAGGAGCAGCCGCCTCCAGCAGGAGCGGGAATCATCCCTGCACATCGCAGGTACAAATGGCCAGGGTGAGGTGTTCCTGGCCCCTGCACTTCTCCTGACCCAGGAGAAGTTTGGGTCTTGCTCTTCTAATCCCAGGCATGTAAACACAGCCCTTTTCATGCTGCCTTCTCTCAGCTCCCTTCTTCCACAACGCCCAGCCCTGGATGGTGGCTCTGGCTCTGGTCCTCGTGCTTTTGGCTGTGTCCATTGGCCTCGGTGTTTATCTCTTTCGAAAGCAAGGTAAGCTGGCAGCGCAGGGATGGAGCAGAGGGAGGTGTTCTGCAGGGATCCCCCTGGGTGTGGAGCGGGGCTGAGCCCTGGCCCAGGGAGGTGCGTAGGAGGAGGAAGGGAATGTTCTCCTGGGGATGCCAAAGGCCTTAGGATGCTCTTGGGTGGGAGGCCAGGGAGCATGGCTGCAGTGTGGGGATGGTGGCGAGGCGCAGCCCCCCTGCACATGTTCCCACCCAGCAACCAAGCTGCTCTGCTCACCACCTCTTCCTCCGCCTTTGCTTTTCAGCGGCACAGAGGCGAGAGCTGGGTGAGTCCTTGCAGTCCCTGCCCCCAGCCCCTGGGGAAGTGGTGTCCGTGTGGGACGGCCTGGTCTGGGTGGGCTCTGGGGGCTTGTGTGCTGGTGGCTCGGGGGTGCTGGAGGAGCAGCTGGAGCCTGGGGTGGGAGTGGGGAGTGCTGGGGCTGGAGCTGCCCTGGGCACGGGACACGGCCAGGATGGCTGAAAGGAACGGGGATCAAGGTGGGGATGGGGAGCGAGCTGCAGGGCTGCCCCACTCTGCACTGACGTTTCTGGGACAGGGACGTCCTCCACCCGTCCCCATTCACTTCCCCTTGTGTTTTGGTGGGACGGTGCAGAGAGCTGCACAAGTGTCTGTCCTTAATGATACAAGACTTTCAAAATGCTGGGACCTGGTCCTTGTTAGTCTGGTTCCTGCAAGTCTGGGAGCAAGGTGGTCTGCAGCCCTGCATGAGAGCAAAAAAAAATTGGGGTCTAGCCATGGAAGCAATAATTTGGTATAAGTCTCTCCACTCTGACCTTTCATTCCTTTTGCTTTTCTATAGCAGCAAAAAAGGATGCAAAGCTGGGTAAGTCTCCTTCCCCAAAGAGAAGGCATTTGGTGTCTTTCCACGGGCATACTCCCCTCTGACTATACATTGCTTTTCTCTTTCCTTTTCTTTTCCAGGGAAACAAGCTGCAGAGATAGGTGAGTGTCCATCCCTGAACTGTAAGAATTTGCAATGTAGACAATAGATGAGAAGTTATTTCCTCTGATCATGCATTCCTTACGCTTTTCTTTTCCAGAGGAAAAAGATGTAAGACTGGGTGAGTCTTTATTCCTCCCCCCAACTGAAGGAATTAGGGGTCCTTGGTTTGTAGCAGTCATTGTTGAGAAACTGACTCCTCTCATCGATGCATTGCTTTTCTATTTTGTTTGTAGATGAACAAGCTGCAGAGCTGGGTAAGTCTCACTCTCCAAACAAACAAACAAACAAACAAAAAGGCAAAAAAAAAAATAAAAGGCATCATACTGAGAATTATGCAATCAGAACCTGTGCTTTCTACTCATAATTTGCTTTCTCTTTACTTTGTAGAGAAACAAGCTGCAGAGGTAGGTGAGTGTCCATCCCTGAACTGTAAGAATTTGCAGTGTAGACAATGGATGAGAATTTTTTCCCTCTGATCATGCATTCCTTTTGCTTTTCTTTTCCAGAGGAAAGAGTTGCAATACTGGGTGAGTCGCTCTTCCCCCCCCCACCCACAACTGAAGGAATTTGGGGTCTTTGGTTTGTAGCAGTCATTGATGAGAAGCAGACTCTATTCATCCATGCATTGCTTTTCTCTTTCGTTTGTAGATGAACAAGCTGGAGAGCTGGGTAAGTCTCGCTCTCCAAACAGAAAAGAAAAAAAAAAAAAAAAAAGGAAAAAAAAAAAAAGCCATCATAGTGAGAGAATCAGAAACTGTGCCTTCTGCTTATATTTTCCTTTTCTCTTTCATTTGTAGAGAAACAAGCTGCAGAGCTGGGTAAGTCTCCTGGTGTTCAGACCCAAGGGCAACACCAAAGCGATGTGCAGGGGAGGGTGGGCAGCTGGGACAGAGCAGCCCAGGGCTGGCCCCTCACCCTGCCCACACCCACTGGGCACCAGCCGTGGGCTGTGACCAGCTCTCCTCTCTCCTTCCAGCATGGAGAAAGTTTCTGCTGCCTGAAAATACAGGTAGGTGTGCATTGGGTTGCCCTCTGAGGTGCTCCTCCTGCCCCTGGTGGGGCATGTTCAGGAGCCAAGAGGTGCCCCATCTCCTGCCCCGTGGGGCAGCTCCTGGCCCCGAGCTGGGGAAAGCCTGCCCAGGGCTGAGCTCTGCCCCTGATGGCCTGGCTCCTTCTGTCCCTGCAGTGAAGGTGACCCTGGATCCGGACACGGCTCATCCCCAGCTTGTCCTGTCTCAGGACAACAGCAGTGTGAGACGAGAAAGTGAACGGCAGCAGGTTCCTGACACACCGGAGAGATTTGACCATTGGTGCTGTGTGCTGGGCCGTGAGGATTTCAGAGAGGGGAGGCACTGCTGGTTGGTGGAGGTGGAGGGAGAGCAGCTACAGTATTCAGGATGGGGTGTGGGGGTGGCCAGGGCTTCTATGGAGAGAAAGAAGTGGATCAACATGAGACCTGAAGAAGGGATCTGGGCTGTGCTGTACTATAAGGGGAAGCTCAAGTCTCTCACATCTCCTCCCACCCCCTTGTCCCTGTCCCCTGTCCCCACAAGGATCTGGGTCTGTCTGGACTGTACCCAGGGACAGGTGTCTTTTATCAACGCTGACAATGGGGTCGAGATCTTCACTTTCACAGCAGTCTCCTTCAATGGGGAGAAAATCCACCCCTGGTTCCTTCTGGTGACAAAGAGAATTCAGCTGTGCCTAAGGGACAACACCCCCCAGACCCTCTCCCCAGCCCTGGGGAGCTCCTGCCCTTCTCCAGACACTCCTGCATCACCTCTCCTTCATACTGCAGGAGCAGCACCACAGGAATGAGGGGCAGTGGGGCCAGGGGCTGCCCCGCGCTCCTCCCTGCTGCTGGAGGAGGGCTGGGATGCTGCAAGCAGGAACCAGGCCCCTTGCAGCCCCTGGGCTCTGTCCTGCATGCGGCTCCTGTGCTGGGGCACAAGCCCTGCTGGCACCCATGGGTCTCACCCTGCCTCTGAGCCCCAGCGGGCAGCACAAGGGCTGCAGCAGCTCTCCACGCTCCTCTCCCCTCTGCTTGCACTGCTTGAAGACCCCAGGGCAAGGGATGTGGTCACCATATTCTGCCAGCCATTGCAGACCACCTTTGCCTCCTAGGTTGGGGTTGACCCTTGCTTTGTGCCTGGTGCTGAGCATGAGCAGCCTGTGGGGGCTCTTTGTTCCCTCCTCTGGAGCACATCAAGGCCCAGCAGCAACAGGACTGTGGCAAATAAAGTTTTGTACAGGAAGATGGAGTCTGGCAGTGGCATTTCCTGGGTGCTTTGTGTCCTGAGGCCTTGCTGCCTGGGAAGGCGTCTTGCAGCAGACCGTCTCCTCACACGCCTTGCCCTGCAGAGCCTTCGCCATCCTCGTAGCCCTCCCTTGGAGGCTCTCACACAGTTTCACGCCCTTCGTCTGCTGCAGTGCCCACAGCTGCACGCAGTGCTCGAGGCGAGGCCGCAGCAGGCCGAGCAGAGCGGGACGATCCCTTCCCTCGGCCGGCCAGCAGTGCCATGCCTGAGGCACCCCATGGCACACTTGGCACTTTGGGGTCCCATGCCATGGCCCCCGCACACCCGATACTCTTGGTGAGACACCGTAGGAGTGTGTGAGCCTCTGCCCTGTCCCCAGAACTCTGCACAGACACCAGCGGGGCTTGTGGAGCATTTTTATTGTAGGAGATGGGTCCTACCGGGAGCCGCCGTTGCCAGGAGGTGTCCGTCTGGGGGTCCTCAGATGCTGCCTGGGTAAGGGGGGGATACAAAGGGTGAGAGATGGGGTGATTCGCCCCTCGCCGTAGTGGACGGGGATGGGGACACCTTTACCTGCGGGGTAGTTGTCTCCAGGGAGGGGAGTTTAACCTGCTGGGGGGAGAAGAGGAGTGAGCAGAGTCCTCGTCGCCCTTGACCACGGCCCCGGCTCTCCCCGGACACTCACACGGGGCAGGAGGCCTGGCCCTGAAGCGGTAGATGCCCGTGAGAAATAAGCCAAGTCCCAGCACCATCAGCACGGTGGCCACCGCCACCAGTATCGTCACATCTGGAATCAGTCCGGGACCTGTGGGGACACGGCTGGGTGAGTGGCAGCAAGGAGCCAAGGCCGCCGGCCTCCAGGTGAGGTGCTGCGCCTCTCCACTCACTCCAGTCCTCCAGGAGAGGCTCCTGCAGGCTGACGTGCTGCACCGAGCACGTGTAGGTGTCGCCTGCCACCGGGGCCACCAGCAGGGACACCTGCGTCTGGTAGGTCCAGTCGCCGTTGGGGATGGCAGAGATGGGGTTGTAGTCGTCGGGCTCCACGATGTCCCCGTTGTGCAGCCAGATGACGGTCACCTCGGGGGGGTAGAAGCCCCAGATGTGGCAGCTGAGGCGCACGGGCACACGGGCGTTCCCCGTCTCCGTGGGGATGATGCGGACTTGGGGCTGCGCTGGAGCAGGGATGGGGATGGGGTCAGTGGTGGGCGAGCCCCTTTTCCCTTCCCTGTGTGACGTCCCCACGCAATGTTCCATGCAATGCTCCCGTGCAACGCTCCCATGCAACTCTCCCATGCAAAGCTCTAGGCATTGTCCCTTGCGATGTCTTGTGTGACATCCCCACGCGATGCCCTGTGTAACGCCCCTGTGCCACACCCTGCAAGAGGCATTGATCTGTGCAATATCCCCTTGCAAATGGCAATGCAATGCGCTGTGCAGTGCTCCGTGCAACATCCCCCTGTGACATCCTCACGCAGTGTGCTCTGCAACACCCCCATGCAATGCCCGGTGCAAGATCTCCTTGCAACATGCTCTGAAACACCCCTGTGCAACATCCCCATACAGTGCCTGGTGCAAAATCTTGACGAGGCTATCAGCTCCAGGGCAGACTCTTTCTGCAGCGAAGCAGGGGATCAGTCAGGTAGGGCTATTTTTTTCCGCTATTGAGCTCACTTGTGGGAGCTGCCAGGACCCAGCAGCCCTTGCCAGGGAGGCTAACAAGGCATTGGCAGAGCCAGCAGGGTCCCCCTCCCCGGCCGTTCAAAAGCTGCTCCTGGGGAGGGTGACAACCAGGAATGCAGTGACCATGGTGGGCAAACAGGGCATGGCACATCAGAAGGGAGTGGCAGGCAGTTCGAGCAGGCAGGGCGAACAGGGAGGGCGGAGCGTTCCCCCCATGCCTATAAGAACAACTCATCTAACGGCGGTCTACCATTAGCTGGGCTACAATGTACTCCACCAGGCACAGTGCTCTCTCTAGCAAGTCTGTACTCACCCAGACTGACTGCCCGCTCAAAAATGCACCAGTTCAGGTCTCTGGGTGCAGGGAGCGTCTGAGCCTCTTGCTGCCATCTGCGGGAGGCTGAGAGACTGTGTGTGCGTGAGGTGCGAGCAGGTGGATGACCTGGTCCACCTGGTGGCAGAACTCAAGGAGGAGGTGGAGAGGTTGAGGGCTATCAGGGAGTGTGAGCGGGAGATAGAGTGGTGGGGCAAATCCCTGCAGATCCTGAAGAAGAGGTACCGGGGTGAGACACCCCAAATGGGGGTGGACCCCCTCCCCTGTCGCTGTTGGACAGAGGGAGGGGACCTAGGAGTTGAGCAGGAATGGAGACAGGTCCCTGCTCGACATCACAGGCGATGACACCCCCTGCCAGCCCCACCTTCCCAGGTGCCCTTCCACAACAGGTTTGGAGCTCTGGAGCTTGACGGACCGGTAGCTGAGGAAGAGGTAGAAAGTGTAGCCAGGAGGATGCTTACACTCAGGAAGTCGACTCCACGCCTCAGGACTGCCTCCACCAGGACAGAAAGAAGGGAGATTGTTGTAGGCGACTCCCTTCTCAGGGGAACAAAGGGCCCTAATTGTCAGCCTGACCCTAGCTGTAGGGAAGTCTGCTTCCTCCCTGGGGCCAGGGTCAAGGAAATTGCCAGAAAACTTCCCAACCTGGTTTGCCCCTCTGACTACTACCCCCTTTGATAGTCCAGGCTGGCAGTGCTGACATTGAAGACAGAAGCCTGAAGGCTATCAAACGGGACGTTAGGGGACTGGGGCGGTTAGTGGATGGAGCGGGAGTACAGGTGGAGCAGATCTCCACACTGCAGCCCATGGAGGAGCCCCCGGTGCAGGAGGTGGATGGGGCCTGGAGGAGGCTGCAGCCCATGGAGAGCTGCAGGAGCAGGCCCCAGGCCAGAGCCACAGCCCATGGAGAGGAGCCCCCACAGGATCAGGAGGTCTGGGGGGAGCTGCAACCCATGGGTTACCCAGATTGGAACAGTTTGCTCCTGACGGATGTACCTCATACTACAGACCCACACTGGGGCAGTTGTTGGAGAGCTGCTGCCTGTGGGAAGCCCATGTAGGATCAGTTTTGGAAGGACGGCATCCCATGGGAGGAGTTGTGCACTCGGCTGAGAGTGGAAAGCCCTTCCAAGGAGATCTGGACAGATTGGAGAGTTGGACAATCACCAGCTGCATGAAGTTTAACAAAGGACCTGTGTGCCAGGTCCTGCACCTGGGATGGGGCAACCCTGGCTATAGGGACAGACTGGGGGATGAGATGCTGGAGAGCAGCCCTGCAGAGAGGGATCTGGGGGTTGTGGTTGACAGCAAGCTGAACATGAGCCAGCAGTGTACCCTAGCAACAAGGAGGGCCAACGGTATCCTGGGGTGCATCGAGCACAGCATGTCTAGTTGGTCGAGGGACGTGATTGTCCCACTCTACTCTGCGCTCTGCGGCCTCACCTCGAGGACTCTGTGCAGTTCTGGGTACCACAGTACAAGAAGGACGTGAAACTATTGGAGAGTGTCCAAATAAGAGCCACAGACATGGTGAAGGGCCTTGAGGGGAAGACGTATGCATTCAGCCAGTTCTCTTAGTACTCTGGGATGAATCCCATCAGGCCCTATAGTCTTGTATGCATTCATCTGGAGCAGCAAATCCCACACAAATTCAGGGTTTGTTGGGACTTTACCGTTCCTGCAGTCACTGTCCGCCAGCTCAGGGCACCTGGAGTTCCACAGCCCAGCATCAGTGTTGAAGGCAAAGAAAGCAATAAACATCTCTGTGAATGACCCTGTCTGACTATCCCCATCAAGTAACTGACCAATGCTTTCTCTCATCCTACTTTTGCTGTTAAGATAGTCTAAAAAAAAAAAAAAAAAACAAAACAAAACATTTTATTGCACCTCACATTGCTGTCCAGCTTCAACTCAAATTGAGCTTTGGCCATATGAATTTTCTCCCTACAAAAGCAAACAGTACCTCTGTAGTCCCTCCATATTGACTGACCTCGCCTCCAGCAAACAGGAACTTTCCTTATCCACCTAAGCTCTTGAAGAAGGTCCCTGCCCATCTGAGCAAACCTTCTGTCACGGCTGCTTTACTGGAGCCGGGAGAGGCACTGGCACTTTGCCTTCAGCACCCTGGGCAAAGGGTGGCAGCTCTGGGCTCGGCACCCAGCTGTGCCCCATTCCCTGCAGCCTCCGATCCTGATCAGCTCTTCACTGCCATCTCTCCACATTTTCCCATTGCTCACAGTTTGGTTCCTCCTTGCATGCATGGAGATGAACGACCTTAGCCACTGGCTTTCCCTGGAGGTCTGGAGAGGCCCCTGCTGGGAACAAGCCTCTCGTGCTTGCTAAAGGCAGTGGACTGGGCACCCAGCTGCAATGGGATGGTGGTGCCAGCCCTGCAGAGCTCCCCAGACATTCCCCTAGGGGCAGAGCTGCTCCAGGAGTGTTATTGCAGCCAGGAACTGGGCAAAGGTTGGGAAAGTTGGGCGTAGCCTTGTCCTTTCTGCAGCTCTGCTGGGTGCCTCGAGGGAGATCTACCTTGGCTTGGAGAAGAACCCCTGGGGGGCCACCTGCCCCCTGGGGAATCTCTCTCTCAGATGGGGCTCCCCTGGGGCTGTGGCCACCCCAGCCACACCAACCATGTCAGGAGCCTCCTGACTTCCCTCGTCACTCTGCTCCTCCTCCACCTAGGCTCAGGTAGGACCCTGAGAGGCTGCTGGGAGCTCTTCCCCCTGGGCCTGGCAGACAGGCTGCCGTGGGGCAGGGGAGCAGCTGTGGGGCAGGGGGGATGCAAGCCCACAACTCAGACCCTGTTGGGTTTGACTTTCCCTTTGGTTCTTTCACACAATATGGGCGCTGCTTTGACTGTCCTTTCTGGCTCTTCTTCTCCTGCCCGAATACTGCAGAGAGGGCTCCCACTCCCAGCACACCTCCTTCTCCTGCACGTCCTCCCTCTCCGTCTCCTGTTTCCCCGGTGTTTTCCCTTGGGACATGGGGGATGCAGCACGCACCAACTCACGCATCCACTCATGACCCTTGGTCACTCACTGCCCCTAAATTTACAATGGCAAAATCTTACCTCCTCTCTGTGCCCTTCTCCATTGCCCAGTGTGAGAAACATCTCAAATAATTTTCTTCAGACTGGATCTTCTCTGAAGCTCTTTTATTCACAATTGCAACAGTCCTGTCAATCAGGAGCACATTTTAGGAAACAAATCCTAACCTTTTATTCCCCATTACCCGACGCCTGATCACCTCCCCTGTTTCCTCATTGGATGAGTACTAAAGGTTCAAAAGCTACATGACACTCCTCTATGCCATATATGTGCAATTTTTCTTTTTTTTTTTTTAACCCTTTAATTTCTACTTTCTTATGTTTTGAGAACTTTTGATCTTTGTTCTCCTGTTCTCACACTGCTCATCCTGTTTTTCTCAAGTTTCTACCTTTTTTTGGAACAGTGTGGCCTTCTACGGTCCACTTATCTCCTTAGCATTTCTCCTTATTATGACTACACAATTACCTATAGAAAAATAATTCTCTGCTGCAAAAATAGAACTTTGTTTCTCACAGTTCCCCCCTCTTCTTTTCTTACTCCTATTGTTGTTTTTACACTTCTTCACATACCTCACTCTTGAGTTTTTCCAAAATTAAGGTGCAATATTCTTCTTTGGATGTCACGGGGGATGATACATATACAATGCCATTATTTTACAATACCAACAAATAGTTGGTTGAGCCAATTCTATGCAGCCAATAAGAAAATTAGTTTCTCCCAAATGTTTCTAAATCCCCAGGAAGTGTCATCTTGAGTTACTCTATGTAGGATCTTGTGGTTTTTCATTTGGTTGGTTGTTTTGGTTTGATTTTGGTTTTGTTTTTCCCAAATAATTTTTTAGATCAGTGAAATTCATCCCATTTAATCTGCATATATACAGAAACTAGTATTATTTACAGGGCATGCTCCTCCTTTTGAGGTTATTAATAAATCTAATACTCTTTGATTCTAGAGTACTATTTTTGCAAACTTTATCTTATTTTCTAGATCTTCAATATTTTTACAATATTTTTGTGTTTTGAGATATTTACGATAGCTTTTTCTAATTCACTCACCCTTAACCAAAAAACACCTTGCAAAACTGTAAAATGCTAGAGAGTTTTACTAAAGGATTATCTGGAGTCCACTTAATTCTGAGTGTGGTCTCAGGGGGGCTTTGGCTTTGTGGGTCTTCAATAATAGTTACATTT